GGAAGCCAGAACATGGGGGAACCAGCCTGAGATGGGAGAGGGATAGTCCCTCTGAAAGTGCAGAGGAGAGAGACTCAGGCAGTGGTGCACTGGTGAATGTTTAATATCCAAATCTAGGACACGGGCTGGGTGGGGTAGCTCTGATTTATAGCATTTGCTGATATCCGTGGAGTTAATACTCTCACTGTGGTCAATTTCAAGCTACCAACCTGACTTCGCTGAATACAGCGGGGGATGGGGATTCCATCAATCAGCTCTCACAGCTGGTCCAAGCTAGCCAGGGTTCAGAAACCTACAGTGAAGCCCGTGGCTATAGGGTCACAACAGGGGCCAGCCAAGCAACACAAGAGAGATGGGCCAGGCATAAAACAAACAGGAGTGAAAGGACAGGGCTCAGCCAATGGGACCCTGAGGGTTGCAGGCCCAGGTGGCTGGATGTTCCCATTCATCTTTCCTTTTTTTTTTTTTTGAGATGGAGTCTAGCTCTTGTCACCTAGGCTGGAATGCAGTGGCATGATCTCGGCTCAGTACAACCTCTGCCTCTGGGGTTCAAGCGATTCTCGTGTCTCAGCCTTCCCAGTAGCTGGGATTACAGGTGGGATTACCACCACACCTGGCTGATTTTTGTATTTTTAGTAGAGAGAGGGTTTTGCCGTATTGGCCAGGCTGGTCTCGAACTCCTGACCTCAAGTGATCTGCCCGCCTCAGATAGGTGTGAGCCATTGCACCCAGCCTCTCTCTCTGTTTCTACTTGTTTTTTCCTCTTTCTTTTCTCTCATCTCTCCCTTCTCTGCTCTGGCCACCGGCTCATCACAGATGAGCAAGACATAGATCCTACCCTTAAGGAGCTTGTGAACTGATGGGGAGCCTTCTCAGGACTCAGTCTGCCGGCTGGAAAAGTGGGGGAATACCTGCCACCAGCACTCCACCAATGGGGCAGAGGCAGTGGGAAGTGCAGGGAGGCTTCTCAGACACTCAAAGAACAGGCAGGGACAGCAAGGGCCTTCCTGGCAAAGGAAGGGCACTGCCCAGTCAAAGGTGGTGAGGTGCGACAGCAAGCTGACCAACTTGCTGGGGCTCAGATGCCAAGGGGTGTGGCTTGGGAGCCAGTGAGGCTAAAGCCAAAGCAGGGGCCTGGACCTCACCTGCCTCTGTAGGCCCAATGAGGTGCTCAACTTTATGGGAAGATAGCCAGGAGCAATTGAAGGGCTTAGGACAGAGGTGTGGTGTGGCCAGATCTGTATTTTTTTTTTTTTTTTTTTTGAGATGGAGTCTCGCTGTGTCACCCAGGCTGGAGTGCAGTGGCCGGATCTCAGCTCACTGCAAGCTCTGCCTCCCGGGTTCATGCCATTCTCCTGCCTCAGCCTCCCAAGTAGCTGGGACTACAGGCGCCCGCCACCTCGCCCAGCTAGTTTTTTGTATTTTTGTATTTTTGTATTTTTATTTTTTTGAGAGGGAGTCTCACTCTGTCGCCCAGGCTGGAGCGCAGTGGCCGGATCTCAGCTCACTGCAAGCTCCGCCTCCCGGGTTTAGGCCATTCTCCTGCCTCAGCCTCCCGAGTAGCTGGGACTACAGGCGCCCGCCACCTCGCCTGGCTAGTTTTTTGTATTTTTTGGTAGAGACGGGGTTTCACCGGGTTAGCCGGGATGGTCTCGATCTCCTGACCTCGTGATCCGCCCGTCTTGGCCTCCCAAAGTGCTCAGATTACAGGCTTGGGCCACTGCGCCCGGCCCAGATCTGTATTTTTATTTATTTATTTATTTATTTATTTATTTATTTATTTATTTGAGACAGAGTTTCACTCTTGTTGCCCAGGCTGGAGTGCAATGATACAATCTCGACTCACTACAACCTCTGCCTCCCGGGTTCAAGTGATTCTCCTACCTCAGCCTCCCAAGTAGCTAGAATTACAGGCATGCACCATCATGCATATTTGGTATTTTTAGTAGAGATGGGATTTCATCATGTTAGTCAGACTGGTCTGGAACTCCTACCTCAGGTGATCCACCCGCCTTGGCCTTCCCAAGTGCTGGGATTACAGACGTGAGCCACCGCACCCGGCCCAGATCTGCATTTTAGAAAGACCTTTCTCACTGCAGTCTGGGAGAGAGTGAGGAGGCTGCAGTCAGCAGGTAGTGGGGAAGAGGAGGATGAAGGAGCTGCTGTCCTACTGAGCTGAGCACTGTCTGCCAGGCCCTACGTTCCATGTCACTTTTCAAACAACTCTTGGAGGTATATGCCATTAATGCTCCCATTTTACAGATAAGAAAACTAAGACTTGACAAGATTAAGGAACCGGGTAACACAGTATGAATGGCAAGAACAAATACAAGAGCCTGCTTACGGCTAGATGTGGGGATGAGGCAGAGGGAAGGATATGGGAGCAGTTCCACTCTGGTGTAAGGGGGTGGTGCCACCTGGGAGACCTGAGGCCTGGAGGAAGATGAAGGGGCTGGAGAAGAGGAATTCAGTTTGGAATTCCTGGGGGCCTTAGTGACATCCAAGCAGGGATATCCCCTGCAAAGAGACACATTCATTCAAGTCTTCCAGGAGAGGCTGGCTAGAAGTAGATTTGAGAGTGCGCACAGGGATGTGCTTGAAGTCAGGGCATGGAGGAGCTTGGTCAGGGAGTGTGGGGTTGGGGAGAAGCAAGTCCTGAGGCTTATGCAGGTAGGCAGGGAGAGCAGCTGGCAAAGGAGTAGTGAAGGGAGCAGCCAGGGGCAGGGGGAGAAGCAGGTGGGCCTTGGGGGGACTCAGGGTGCAGGAGGGGTCATGGAGAAAAGGTGGATGTCAGCAGCATTTCAAGTAGCAGAGACTGGGTTGAGAAGGGTCTCCTAGGACCAAAGAACAGGCATCACTGCTCATGCCTTTGTAAGGGCGTTTTCCATGGAGTGGTGGGGACAGGAGCGGGAAGCCAGGGGCTTGAGGATCCAGTGAGGAGGCGGGGACAGAATGGACCACCTATCCACCAGCGTGGCTGTAAAGGCAGGAGGAGCAGATGGAGGCAGGTGAAGGCTTGGTGTTGCAAAATAGTATCTTTTATTTTCTTTTATTTTTTTATTTTATTTATTTATTTTTTTTTTTGAGACGGAGTCTTGCTCTGTCGCCCGGGCTGGAGTGCAGTGGCCGGATCTCAGCTCATTGCAAGCTCCGCCTCCCGGGTTCTCGCCATTCTCCTGCCTCAGCCTCCCGAGTAGCTGGGACTACAGGCGCCCGCCACTTCGCCCGGCTAGTTTTTTTGTATTTTTTGTAGAGACAGGGTTTCACCGGGTTAGCCGGGATGGTCTTGATCTCCTGACCTCGTGATCCGCCCGTCTCGGCCTCCCAAATTGCTGGGATTACAGGTGTAAGCCACTGCACCCGGCCTGTGAAATGATTTCTTATAGCATGTCCTAACATTTCACATTTAACATTTCACAACTTTGATTTTAATCCATTTGTAAAGCTTCAGTCACTGACTCCTATTGGGAACCTCCAAAGCACAGTAAAATTTCAGCTATCCAGAATTCTTGGCAAATGAGTCATTCTGGAAAACCAACTTTTATCACGCCACTGCACTCCACCCTGGGCGACAGAGTGAGAATTTGTCTCAAAACAAAACAAAACAAAACAAAAAAACAAATAGCTAGCTAGGCACAGTAGTGCATGCCTATAGTCTTAGCTCCTCTACGATCCTGCCATTGCACTCCAGTCTGGGTGACAGTGAGACCCTGTTTAAAAAAATAATAAAAGTAGAGAGAGGATATAAGAAACCCCTGCATCCTGCCATCCAGCTTCAGCACTTACCAACTCAAGGTCAATTCTGTCTCATCTCTACCCCACCTGCTCCCCACAAGCCCTGGAATATTTTGAAGCAAATCCCCGACATTACAGCAATTCATCTGTAAAGCTTTTGTATGTTTCTCCAAAAGACAACACTTTAAAAACATAACCACAGGCTGGGTGCGGTGGCTCATGCCTGTAATCCCAGCACTTTGGGAGGCCGAGACGGGCGGATCACGAGGTCAGGAGATCGAGACCATCCTGGCTAACACAGTGAAACCCCGTCTCTACTAAAAAAAAAAAAATACAAAAAATCAGCCGGGCGTGGTGGCGGGTGCCTGTAGTCCCAGCTACTCAGGAGGCTGAGGCAGGAGAATGGTGTGAACCTGGGAGGCGGAGCTTGCAGTGAGCTAAGATCGCGCCACTGCACTCCAGCCTGGGTGACAGAGCGAGACTCTGTTTCAAAAAAAAAATAATAATAATAATAATAAAATAACCACAAGCCAGGCGTGGTGGCTCATGCCTTTATTTCCAGCTATTCAGGAGGCAGGAGGATCCTTTGAACCCAGGAGTTTGAGTCCATCCTGGGTAACATAGGAAGACACTACCTATCAAAAAAAAAAAAAAGGCCAGGCACGGTGGCTCATGCCTGTAATCTCAGCACTTTGGGAGGCTGAGGCAGGCTGATCACGAGGTCAGGAGATTGAGAGCATCCTGGCTAACACGGTGAAACCCTGTCTCTACTAAAAAATACAAAAAATTAGCCGGACGTGGTGGCGGGTGCCTGTAGTCCTAGCTACTCGGGAGGCTGAAGCAGGAGAATGGTGTGAACCCAGGAGGCGGAGCTTGCAGTGAGCTCAGATTGCGCCACTGCACTCCAGCCTGGGCGACAGTGCAAGACTCAGTCTCAAATAAATAAATAAATAAATACAATAAAAAATAAAAAGCATAACCACAATATCATATTAGTCCTTAATTTTTTTTTTTTTTTTAGATGGATTTTCACTCTTGTCACCCAGGCTGGAGTGCAATGGAGCAATCTCCGCTCACTGCAACCTCTGCCTCCCGAGTTCAAGTGATTCTCCTGCCTCAGCCTCCCAAGTAGCTGGGATTACAGGCATGCACCACCACGCCTGGCTAATTTTTTGTTGTTTTTTTTTTTTAGTAGAGACGGAGTTTCACCATGTTGGCCAGGCTGGTCTCAAATTCCTGACCTCAGGTGATCCATCCACCTTGGGTTCCCAAAGTGCTAGGATTACAGACATGAGCCACGGTGCCTGGCCCTAAAATTTTTTAACAATTCTTCAGTATAGTCAAATATTCATTGTTCAAAAATATCCATTGTTCAAATTTCCCCAATATCTTTTTTTTTGTTTTCCCAGTTGGGTTAAAATTTGGCTCCAAACAAGGTCTGCACGTTGCGTTTTTGTGCTGTCTCTAAAGACTCCCTTTCTTTTTTTCATGTAATGCATTTGTTGAGGAAACCAGGCTGCCTGGAAGGATGAGCCTGGGGGAATGAGGGAGAGGAAGAGAGGGGGCAGGGAGGAGAGAAGGATGGGTGTCCAGATAGACGTGCCACCCATGCTGGGGGACACAGGCAGGATGTGGAGGCCTGTCTCCCTAACTGGGAGGGGAGGCCAGGGCTGCTGAAGGGTGGAGCCCAACCCTGGGTGCCCCCCTCCCTCCACCACATCCAGCTGCTGGATGTGAGGGGAGATAGAAAGACGGCCTGAGTCAGGAGCAGGGGCAGAGCTCGGGTTGTGGAGGGGTCCCGCTGCTCACGTCAGACTGGAGGTGAGGAAGGGGCGGGGCCTGACAGCAGGCCTGGAAGGAACAGGATGTCGATGCTGGAGAGGGAGAGAGAGGACAGTGCCAAAACCCAGCTCCTGGCCAGTCCCCAGCTCCTCCCTGCCTGGCCCTATCCCAGGATCCCCTCCCCGGCCTCTCAGCTATGATCTACCCCAGGGCCCAGACATCAGGCGCCTTCACAATGCCGGTGGTCAGTGGTCCAGGTCCCTTGTTCTGCCTTCTCCTCCTGCTCCTGGAACCCCACAGTCCTGAGACGGCGCGTCCTCCTCTGCGCAGGTTTGAATACAAGCTCAGCTTCAAAGGCCCAAGGTTGGCATTGCCTGGGTCTGGAATACCCTTCTGGAGCCATCATGGAGGTGAGGGGCAGGGATGGGGACCAGCCATGCCCAGGGTCCCTCAAAGTGCTGGAGGGGCTGTGACTTGGTGGGGAGTGGGTCTGTCACAGCCATCCTCTGTCCAGGGTGGGGTAGGGCCTGGGACAGTGCCAGGCACCCCAGGACCCCTCCCAGGCTTGTCTCCTGCTCCACCCCCTCAACACCCCCGACCCCTGCCCAGGCTGTTTCTCCTCTACCTCTCTGCTTCCCTGCGCCAGAACTTCTCTCTTCTCCTCTGCCTCTCCTTGGACCCCTGCCCTTCCTCTGTCTCTCTGACCTGTGGACACACAGACACATGCTCACACACTAAGTCCCAGACACACAGAAGGCAATGTGGACCAGCACAAGCCTCCACTCTCCTGGCTCCATCCCAGCAGGCCTGTGGCTGGCCATGAGAACTGGGGGCTACCTGGAGGGAGGCATCCTCATTCCAGGCGAGTGGGCACCAGCCTTTCCCTGTATGTGTGTTGTGGGTGGAAGCAGGCATGAGAGCATCTTAGCCCATAGGTTTGTGTTCAGGGACTTCCAAACCTGGACCTACAAAGAGTGTGTCTTCTACCAGATCTTGTTCCAAAAAGGATTTGTGATGATGAAACTACAAGATAGAAGGGAGCTTGCTTACATTAGGAGTGAGCAAGGACAATGAGGATTAGAGTGGAACATGAAATAGTCTAGGAGCATGGCTTCCAAAACATACGCTGTGAGGTCTGTCCACCTCAGAGTTAGGCCATAAATTTAATTCTGAGCCTCTTAGCAGGCAAAGCAAAGATAGAAAGCAGATCAGCTGTGGATTTCTGTCTATAAGATGTGAGTTCTTGGCCGGGCACAGTGGCTCACACCTGTAATCCCAGCACTTTGGGAGGCCGAGGCAGGTGGATCAAGAGGTCAAGAGATTGAAACCATCCTGGTCAAAATGGTGAAACCCCGTCTCTACTAAAAGTACAAAAATTAGCTGGGTGTGGTGACACGCACCTGTAGTCCCAGCTCCTCGGGAGGCTGCGGCAGGAGAATTGCTTGAACCCGAGATCCTGCCATTGCACTCCAGCCTGGGCACCACAGAACCAGACTCTGTCTCAAAAAAAAAAAAGTTAGTTCTGAGAAATGGCATGATTCCTGACTAAGGCCAGGAAAAAATATCCCTTTTTTTTATTTATTTATTTTTTGAGATGGAATTTCACTCTTGTTGCCCAGGCTGGAGTGCAATGGTGTGATCTCTGCTCACCGCAACCTCCACCTCCCGGATTCAAGTGATTATCCTGCCTCAGCCTCCTGAGTAGCTGGGATTACAGGTGCGTGCCACCACACGCAGCTAATTTTTGTATTTTCAGTAGAGACGGGGTTTCACCATGTTGGCCAGGCTGGTCTCCAACTCCTGACCTCAGATGATCCGCCCGCCTCGGCCTCCCAAAGTGCTGGGATTATAGGCGTGAGCCACTGCGCCCAGCCCAAAATATATCCCTTTAAGATGATAGGCCCTATCAGTAGGGTTTCTTCCAGTCCTCTTTCATAAAGACACAGGAGGTAACAAAAAAGTGGGCTGTTTCTCACAACACCATACCGGCCTCTGCCTCAAGACCAGGATGGCAAGCTTATACAACGCTCACTGCTCTGGGCCTTGCCAAGTCTGGGTGTCACAGATCATGTAAGGGAACAGAAGCACCTTCTCCAAGATCACCCAGTGATGTGTGCATTGTCTATTCATTCATTGGTTCACCCTGATGCTCCTCTGTGCCCAGCCCAGAGACACAGGGTAGAGCCAGGCTGAAGGAGCCCATGGTCTGGGGCAAGGTCTCACCCACAGGCCTCGTAAGGCTGAAAGCGTAGTAGACAGTGGGCAATCCTTGCCTCCTGCAAGGATTTCAGAGGCAGTGACAGCTTCCAGAGGCCCTGGGACTTGTGGCCTTGCAGCTCTGAGCCTCCCTACCCCCATCCCTGGCCTTTATAGAGCAAACAGGCTGGATTAGCAGCCTCCAGAACGTCCTGGCAGAGTCTGGGCCCTGGGCCAGGTTCCAGGCTGGCAGGTTGGAGGGTGGGGAGCGAGCTGGAGTAGGGCCTCTGAGTTCCCTGCCCCCAGTTCTTGCCAAGACTGCCTCAGTTTCTCTCCCATTCCTCCGTCCTACCATGCAGGGCTCCTTCCTTCCCACCCCACCACCGCCAGTGACAATTCTCACACACACACTCCATCCTACACTCTTTCATCGCCATTCTGCAGGCCGGTTCTCACCTCCGCAACTTTGCTTTCCTGCTTTCCTCACCTTGGAATGCCCCTAGGTCCTGTCCACCAGGAAGCTCCGGCCTCATTTGGCCACAGCCTAGAGTCCTGGGCCTCCTTGCAGTTACTTCTCCTAAAGTGCTCTCCTGTGTTCTGTGGTCTCAGGCACTTCCTTTTTTGTCACAAGGCCTCAGTTTCCTCATCTGAGAAATGGGAAGAGTTAGACACAAATCTCTCTCGTGGTGGAAAAAGCTTGCACTTAGGAGTCATAGGGAGCTGAATTCCGTCCAATCCACTTAGTTCCTTAACTTTTCTGAGCCTCAGTTCCCTCATCTGTTAGATGGGGTCTTATAAAAACAGACAACACACACTGCAGTGAGGCTTCACTGACGACGCGGACAGTGCTGGCATTCATTGCCCTCCCCGGCAAAGGCCCCTCCAGCTGTGCTGGGCTCTGACTCCTGCTTCCCTGGCTGCCTGGTTATTTAATGGCAGGCCTTGGCGTTGTCTCTTCCTCTTCCGGGAGCCCAGCCCAGGCCGGTGAGAGAGAGTGAAGGGGGAACTGGGGTATAGTGGGGCCTGGGGCTTGAACTGCCCTGGTCCACAGATGACATCCTGGGCCTGGAAGAAGTGCGGCTAACACCATCCATGAGGAACCGGAGTGGCGCCGTGTGGAGCAGGGCCTCTGTCCTCTTCTCTGCCTGGGAAGTAGAGGTGCAGATGAGGGTGACGGGATTGGGGCGCCGGGGAGCCCAGGGCATGGTGAGTGTCCTCTCCCAGAGCTGACAGAGCAGGGTGGGTCAGGGAGGCAGGTGATGAGCCCTGGGGTCCCAGTATCTCACACGGTTCCCTGAGCTGAGGGGCTGGGGACCTACAGGCCGTGTGGTACACCCAGGGCAGGGGCCATGTAGGCTCTGTCCTCGGGGGACTGGCCTCATGGGACGGCATCGGGATCTTCTTTGACTCCTCGGCAGAGGATACTCAGGTGCGTAGTTGTCTCCTGCCTGCCAGCGCCCCTGCCCGCCCACACCCTCCCCCTCCCGCCGTGGCCGCAGCTCAGGCTGCTTCTCATCTCCCTGCAGAACAGTCCTGCCATCCGTGTGCTGGCCAGCAATGGGCACATCCCCTCTGAGCAGCCTGGGTAAGGGCCTGTCTAGACTGACCCCTCACCTCCATTTTTGCATTGGGAGGGGCCCATCCCCCCCATCCGAGCCCCTGCCCCAGCCTACTCCAGCAGAGGGCCCACCCTCCCAGAGCTGCCATCTTTGCTGGACTCTCACTCAGGCGAAGCCCACACCCATGGGGCTTGATGCCTGCAACCCAACAGCCCCAGGTGAAATGACACAGGCTGTGGCCTATGATGAGTATCTTCACTCCCATGATCTCATCCCATCTCCAATACCCTCCATAAGTGGGGGTTATTCGTCCCATTTACAGGTCAGGACATTGAGCCCCAGAGAGGGGAAGGGACGTGCTGTGGGCAGAGCTGAACTTTGAGCCCAGACTTACTCCTGAAGGGTCCCCGCTCTTCCCTGCTTAGCTGTCCCTTCGCTTTCCCAGATGATTTGGCTTCTGTCCCTCCCCAGCCGCCCCGATGCCTCCTCAGTAGCTGGGCCGGTTTGTCAGTGTCTCTCAGCAACCTTCTCTCGGATCATAACAATTAGAGTAATTGCCTGCATTTATGGAGTGAGCTGACTGTATGCCAGGCCCAGCACCACGTCCTTCTCGTTTACTGTCTTAGTTAACCCTCATAACATTGTTATGAGGTTGTTCCAATTACCATCCTCATTTTAGAGATGGCAACACTGGGGTTTGGAGAGATGAGATGGCTTGCCCAAGGTCACACAGCTCGGGGCACAAACCCAGGTGGCTGCTCTGGTGCTGGCTTCTCCCCTGCCCTGTGCTGCCTCCCTCTTGGCGGAAGGCAGCACTGTCAGACGCTCTGCTGTGAGTAGCCTGAGGTGTCCAGAGACACTCAGCGTTTAACACTCTTCTCCTGACTCCCCAGAGCCTGCCATGCCGACCCGTCAGGGAGGCAGCCTGGTCACATTGTCCTTGGCTGCCAGGACATGTCCAGGTCATCCGTCCTGAGTCAGCTGGGAGAGGAAGGGGAAGCCAGAGGCACAGGGGACTTGGAGTTTAAGAGAAGAAGGAAGGAGGGGCCAGGCGTAGTATTTCACGCCTATAATCCCAGCACTTTGGGAGGCTGAGGCGGGCAAATCACCTGAGGTCAGGAGTTTGAGACCAGCCTGGCCAACATGGTGAAACCCCGTCTCTATTAAAAACAAAAAAAATTTAGCCGAGTATGGTGGCGAGCACCTGTAATCCCAGCTATTCGGGAGGCTGAGGCAGGAGAACCACTTGAACCCAAGAGGCAAAGGTTGCAGTGAGCTGAGATTGTGCCACTGCACTCCAGCCTGAGCAACAGAGCAAGACTCCATCTCAGAAAAAAAAAAAAAAGAGAGAGAAGGAGGAGGAGGGAGGGACGGGTGATAGGACAAGGGTGATAGGTGTGTCGGAGGGATGGAGGGCAGAAACTGCATTGTTAGTCCAGGCCTTTGTCCCCTTGAGGACAGGCCACAGGGAGGCCCCTGGTCCCTTCTGTAAATCCAAGTCCCAACACTCTGCCAGGCAGGGCTTGCTTCCCCTGCCCCTCTCTCTTCTGCCAAGGGAGCAGGCTACAAGAAGGGAGACTCAAGCTAGACAAGGTACCTATCCCATGCCAGCTCACCCAGTGCAAAGGGAGGTGGCACAGCAGATCTGGGCAGAGTGGCTTCTGGGACTGCCCTCACTGGCCAGGCCTTGAGTCCTGTATATCCTGGCTGGATTCCAACTGCCCACAAAGGCCAGGCGCGGTGGCTCACTCCTACAATCCCAGCACTTTGGGAGCCAAGACGGTGGATCACTTGAGGTCAGGAGTTCGAGACCAGCCTGACCAACAATGTGAAACCCCATCTCTACTAAAAATACAAAAATGAGCCAGGCGTGGTGGTGCATTCCTGTAGTCTCAGCTACTTGGGAGGCTGAGGTGGGAGGATCACTTAAGCCCAGCAGGCAGAGGTTGCAATGAGCCACAACTGTACCATTGCACCCCAGCCTGGGCAACAGAGTGTGACTCTTTCTCAAAAACAAACAAATGAACAAACTGCCCACAGGTATGGAGCCAGCCAAGTGCTGGGCTCCTGTCACTGGGACTTCCGGAACCGGCCACACCCCTTCAGAGCACGGATCACCTACTGGGGGCAGAGGCTGCGCGTGAGTCACTTCCTGCTTCTGACAGGGCTCTGAGTTACAGAGCTGCTGTGTGTGCGTGCCCATGGCCCCAACATACCAGTGCCTGTGACACTACGTGAGGCCCCTAGCACACACGGGCCAACATCCACAGGGGATCCCTACACAGAATCCTAATACTCACCCAGAGCACATACATGTAAGGGCTCACATGAGACCAGGAGTGCTGGTCACCTCCATGCCATTCTGATACCAAGCCCTAGGGCCATCTGCCCTCCTATGGCCAGGGGAGCCAGGGAGTCAGAGGTAGGGACAACCCCCTACCGCTCACTCCCTCTGTGTCCCTCAGGTGTCCTTGAACAGCGGCCTCACTCCCAGTGATCCAGATGAGTTCTGTGTGGATGTGGGGCCCCTGCTTTTGGTCCCTGGAGGTTTCTTTGGGGTCTCAGCAGCCACCAGCACCCTGGCAGGTGAGGATCCCACTGGTCAGGTAAGAGCAGAAGGGCAGTGATGAATGAATCACCCTGAGCACACCTTCTAAAGTGCACTGGGGTGGCATCAGCCACTTCACCACATGACCTGGGCCTCCACGACCCTTGGGAGAAGTCACATCTGCCTTGAGACTTGCAAGTCTCAAATGGGATAAAACAAGAGAAACTTTGATTTCAGTGCTGGCCCCATAAGTGCCCCTAGCTGGGAGCTGTGGGACAAGTGGAAGACAGACAGCAAGGAGGGACATTTAGGAAAATGGAGCAAAGAGATGTGATGCCATGGAGAGTCCACAGAGGATCCCACAGTGGGAAAGCCGAGGGAAACCAGAGCGTGGGAGTCCTTAGAATGCCAGGACCTTAGTCTGGTTTCTGAGGAGGAGAGTGATATGGTCAGAGCTATGCTGGAGAGGTGGCCACCACGCAGTTGCTACTACCAGTAGCCACTGTGCTCTGGGGGCCTGAGGGTGTCACTTGGTTTACTGCCATGGCTGTAGCCCAGGATGTTTTGGGATCATCCAGTTCTGCCACTCACAGGGGCCTGCCTCTGACTGAGTGTGAGGTTCAGCCCTCACCACCCACCCATCTACCTGTCAACCCTCACATCTTTCCTATGAAGTGAGCAAGACAAGCATCAGGTGATGGCCCAAAGTCACCCCTCTTGCCTCAGTGGGATATCATGGCAGTGAAGGTGGAGGCTGAGCCAGGGGGCTGCTGGGTGGAGGGGTCTTACTTCTCCTTCATCTGTCCCCTTCCAGATGATCATGATGTCCTGTCCTTCCTGACTTTCAGCCTGAGTGAGCCCAGCCCAGAGGTGATGCCAGCCCTGGCCTACCTGGGAATGGCAGCCCAGGGACCCTGCCCTTGACCATGTCATGGTGCCCTCAGACCTGCCATTCCAGCCCTTACCTCCACCTGGCCTCTGAGCTCTGCTCAGGCCAGACCTTGTGCTGGGCAGTGCTGTGGGCCAGGCCCGGTCTGCAAGGCCTCACAGGCTGACTGGCTCAGGCTGTGACATTACAGTTCAGAGTGATCAGTGCCAGGTCTCAAAAGGCACAGGGGGCTGTGGGAGCACAGAGGAGGGGTCCCAACCAGCCAGGGGGTCAAGGAAGGCTGCCTGGAGGAGATGAGCTTAAAGGAGCCACGGATCAGCACGTACAGGCCTGAGGCCACAGCAGGGAGGGAAGAGGGTGGGGATCTGTGTGAAGGCAGAACTCAGAGGGCTGGAAACTGCAGGGCCAGATGGCCAGGGAGGGAGACTGGGCTCGTGGGGAAGCCTGTGGGAAGGCTCCCCTCACCTCTGGATCTCCCATGGGTTTGGGGCCTGACTTTCTGTCTTCCTCCCCCAGGTTCCCCCTCAGCCCTTCCTGGAGATGGAGCAGCTCCGTCTGGTGAGGCAGCTGGAAGGGCTGCGGGCAAGGCTGGACCTGGGCACCAGGGCGGATGTAACTCCAGAGTCAGGCTCTGAAGCTCAAGGAGAAGGTAGGGACTGAGAGAGCAGGCAGGTGGCGCCCATCTGAGTGTCACAGCATCCTCCACCCTTATGACCAGGAGTCCTTTAATCAGAAGGGAAACTGAGGCCTGAGGAGGCCATATCTAAGCAGGCCCTGGGCCCAAGTGTTCTGTCCTATCCCCACCTTACCACTCAGACTCATTTTCCAGGAGAGGGTCTTAGAGGCAGCAGCCACACCTTCTGGCACCCCCTCCAAGAAGCCCCCCCAAAGATAAGATAGGCTGTGTTATGCCACCGTGGCTGGCTGCCCATCCCAGCTCTGCCCTAATTCCCAGGGGAAAGGCTCTTTGACCTGGAGGAGACGCTGGGCAGACACAGCCAGATCCTTCAGGCTCTGCGGGGTCTCTCCGAGCAGCTGGCCCAGGCTGAGAGGCAATGGAAGAAGCAGCTGGGGCCCCCAGGCCAAGCCAGGCCTGATGGAGGCTGGGTGAGTAGCCCCACAAGCATCCAAGGCTCCACCTGCGGGCCTGAAAGAGGAGCAAGCACTGTAGTAAGCAACTAGTCTCCCTAAGGCCTGGAGGGAAAGGAGGGCAGGGATGAAATGCTGCAGGTCACAGGATGGGGTACGGCAGCATGCGGGATGGCATCTCTGCACAACGAAATGCGCACGGGGCTGGGGCTCAGGCTGGGGCTGGGGAGAGGAGATGCCAGATATTTGGACTCGGCTCTGTAGATGAATGACAGAAATAGACTAGGTGCTAATTTGCATGTAGCTTCACATGCAATTTGCATACGGCTTGCTTAATGCTCAGTTGCACCAGAAGCCTCATTTCATCTCCATTGCCATCTGGCTCCTCCCCTAGGGAGTCATGCCTCGGGTCATGCCCTGCCTGGGGGCCTGAGAGCTAAACTCAGCCAAGGTGTTAGATACTGGGCAGAGGAGGCCAGCAGCTCTTGCGGGCTTTGCTGGACTCTGACAGCTCGAGGTTTTAATCTTGTGTCAGAGCAGCTTAGGCTGGGCTGCTAGTGTGGGGAAAAGGGGAGGGGACTCACACTCCAGGGCCAGGCCTCTCTGATCCTACCCTCAGGCCCTGGACACCACTCAGTAAGGCAGGGACCCAAACACTGGGTGTTGACCAGCACTGGCCCCAGCTTGGATAGTACCCTGGGGGAACCAGGAAAGAGAGGACTGGGCTGGGCCTCTGCCTCCTTCAGGGGACAGAACCACTTTTAGAAGGGAGAGGTATTTTGGCCTGGCGTGGTGACTCACGCTTGTAATCGTAGCACTTTGGGAGGCCAAGGTGGGCGGATCACGAGGTCAAGAGATCGAGACCATCCTGGCCAACATGGTGAAACTCTGTCTCTACTAAAAATACAAAAATTATACAAAAATTAGCTGGGCGTGGTGGCATGCGTCTGTAGTCCCCGTTACTTGGGAGGCTGAGGCCAAAGAATTGCTTGAACCTGGGAGGCGGAGGTAGCAGTGAGCTGAGATTGTGCCACTGCACTCCAGCCTGGCGACAGAGCAAGACTCCATCTCAAATAAATAAGAAGGGAGAGGTATTTTGAGAAAACCCTGAAGTGGCCACTGTTGGGAGGAAACAACCACCCCTGGGGAGAGGGGTGTGAGTGGAGGGGGAATGCGGGAAGCCCCTGTGGATGAGGTCAGAGAAACACAGTGTGTCCAAATAAGGAAGGCCTGGTAATCTGGGAAGGCCTCTGGAAGGAAGAGGCTGCAGTGAACCTGGGAAGGTGGGCTCTGACAAGAGAGGGGCTGTGTCCTGGGCCCTAGACAAGAGGCTGGCCCTCCTGCAGGACTCTGCTAAGGTCGATGCCCTGCTCCATGGACAGAGGACTCTGCTCCAGGCCCTGCAACAGATGAGGTAAGGGACTCGGTGGGGACCCCTCCACTACCTTGTTTCTCTGCCTGAAGTTCCTCCATTAGCCCTTCATTCCTTCCATCATTTCCTGAGCGCCCAGCACACAGCCTGTCAATTGGAAGGGCTGGGGGTGGAGTTAGGTTTGTTGAGTTGACTTGAATTTAACTGAATCAAGTTTAATGTTTTGCAAGTCCTTGTTGAAAAGCAATTCTCTCCAGGAGAAGCCCATCATGAAGGCCGCCTCAGACACTGCCACCCTCAGGAGGGTTAAGAAATCTGAGCGTTCCTTCAGTGGCAGCTCCTGGGATGAGGGGCATTTTGATGGGGGCTCTTGGAGAGGGAGCACAGCCAAGACTAGACCAGCTGGAGGAGGCAGTCCCTGACTTGGTTTTGTGCCCGCATTAGCTTCCTGTTATCCCACTCTAGGCTGGATCTCTGGAGCCCTGGGGGTTGGGGGAGTTCTGGGGATGCCGTGGAGGAGGCATGCGTCCCAACCTGAAGCCTAAAGCCCCCCTGTACACACAGAGCTAGATGGCTAGGGTTGGGGGTGGAGAGGCACCTAGATGAGAAGAAGGAAAGGAGTTAAATCCAGGATGGAAGGCAGAGGCGGGGAGCCTGGGGTTGACACAGATAGCTTTAGGGAGATCTTTATCTGAGCTAAAGTCTCAGGATCTAGGAAGAAGGTTGGAGGAGAAAAGACCAGTCCCCAAGAAGGGGCCCCATGGATGGTACCTGTTCCTCACCCATGTGCTGCCCCTGGGGAGATGGGAAATGATTAGGCCATTTGCGTGGAAGCAAAAGAGGTAATGAGTCATCTTACTTGGTTTCCACCCCCGATTAGGGATGCAGCTGTCCGCATGGCTGCAGAAGCCCGGGTCTCCTACCTGCCTGTGGGCACTGAGCATCATTTCTTAGAGCTGGACCACATCCTGGGCCTCCTGCAGAAGGAGCTTCAGGGCCTGGCGGTGAGGGGGAAGTAGTGGGGAGCATGGGGTCCCCAACCCTGATGTCTGGGCTCAGCCACCCTTCTTCTAGCACTTTGGCAGCCCCGAGCCATCCTGCCTTTGCCCTCCCCTCCCAGGACTGCTGGCAAGCACATCTGTGCCTGTGTCAGTGTCTGTATGTGCGTGCATACATGCCAGCACACATCTCATCTTCTCTCTGCCCTCTCTGCTCTCTGGAGAGTCCCACAGACTCAGCACCAGCAGAGCCCTGGACACCCCTCAATCCAAATGGGGTGGGCCGTGTCCAAGATCATTCAGAGTCCAGTGGTGGAATCAGATCTTCCCCATGCCCTGTCCCATCCTCGTTCCCTCGCCCTCACCCTGCTCACCCTGTCTTTGGCTCTCTACTTCTTTCTCTTCTCTTGAGCCCTGGGCCCCCTGATGATCCCAGGCCTTCCCAGCTGTTCCCACAAATGCAGCCATGGGAGCTGGGGTGGGGGAGGCAGCTTTGTACACTGCCCCCTCTCCAAGTTCCCTGGATGAGAGCCAGGACACCCCAAGCCTGGGGAAAGGAAACGGAGCATGCACATGGCCTAGATTCCAGGTCCCCCCCCTCCTTTTGAGTAAGAAACTAAGCTAGGACCTTAGACTTTCCCCTTTCAGAAGGCAGCGGCCAAGGCCCCCCGCCCACCTGGCCAGCCCCCAAGGGCCTCCTCGTGCCTGCATCCTGGCATCTTCCTGTTCTTCCTCCTCATTCAGACTATAGGCTTCTTCAGCTACGTGCACTTCAGGTGGGCCACTCCGTGAGTAGGACTTCCCACAGCACTGGCATCTCCTGGTTCTCAGCTATAGCCATTGGATTTAGGAGAGGGGACACTTCAGTCCAGAGGGGACCTGTCCAGTCCCCAAGTCACAAAGAGCACAGTGCAGGATAGGGCCCATTCTCTCACCAAGCACCACTGACCACCTGCTCATCCCCCAGCCCCATCTGGGTCCTGCTCTCATGGAGCTCACGCACACAGGTCTAACTGACCCTGTGTAGTCAATGCCATGATGTCAGGAAGCTGAGGGGCTACAAGAATGCAGAACACACTTGACCCCCCTTGGTTAGGGAATCAACCTGGAAGGGACATTTGATATGGTCATTAAGGTGACTAGGAGTTTTCCACCCTGACAAGATAGGTAAAGGCATAGAGGCAGAGGAAACAGCATGAGAAAAGGCAGGGAGGTATGAGAAAAACATAATATTTTAGAGAAAAAGTGGCAAGTTCAGTAGTGTTGGAGCAAAGGGCAGGACCTTTGTGAAACTGGGCAAAGAGATCTGAAAAAGTGAGAGGAGGTCACTAGTTTTGCTTGGTGTGTGTTTGCTGAATGAACGTGCACCATTTAGAGATGTGGGGTGTGCTAAGGGCCTCAGCAATGAGACTGACAATCTTTGTTGGTGGAATTTCAAGACAAGAAGAGTCCGTGTGGGTTGGGATGGTCCTGGAGGAGGAGTAAAATGAGCTAAGCTTTAAAAAGCACAAGGTGGAAATGCTCACAGGCTTCAGCACATGCACAGGAGTGCAGTGGTGGCAATCAGCCTGGAGCCACTAGGATAGACCTTACATGCCCCGGGGGAAAGCGTGGACCATATGCAGCAGGCCAAAGAGCCTCAGAAAGTCCAAGAACAGGGGAGGTTGTGGTGCAGTGAGTGTAGCAAGACAAGCACGAGAGTCTTGGTTTTTCAAAAGCCCATAAAGGAGAGATGCAAGTAGCCTGTAACCTTTTCTCTCGCAGCAGGCAGGAGCTGAATGAGAGCCTGCAAGAGTGTCTGTCCACAGGCAGCCTTCCTCTGGGTCCTCTACCACACACCCCCAGGGCCCCGGGGATTCTCAGGAGGCAGCCTCTCCCTGCCAGCATGCCTGCCTGACCCACCTCAGAGCCTGCTTTGCATCACTGGGAAGCAGGCAGTGTCTGGGGTGGGTGCTTGATCAGCATCCTCTTCGTCTGGGTGCCCAGCTCCCACCCACACCTGAGCTTTCAGCACACTCCCATCTTATTAAAGGTGATTTCCCTCTCCCCATGCTGTGATATGCTGGTCTTCTTTCCAGCCTCACCCTAATCTCTGTGAAGGCTTCCACCCCTTCTGAGTAGCTGGCTAGGAGCGCGCTCCAAGCAGGCAAGGAGGCCAAGGCCTGGCTTAACCTCCAAAAGACCAGATACCCCACGGGCTTTGAACCCTCGACTATGGAGGAAAAGCGAGCCATGACTGTATATAATTCTGTCCTCAAATTCACCCAGAACAGAGAGCAGTGTCCGTCCTGAGTCCCTCCAGCTCAGCCAGCATCATTGAGCAGCTCTCTCCCTCCCCACTCCTAACTGCTCCAGGGGCAGCAGGGGAGGCGCGTGACAGAGCAACCCTGAGAGGCCAACTCGCGGAACCATAAGTGGGATTCCCGCTCGCGCCCTCAGGTCTCCCTCCCTTTACCAGCGTCAAGCTCTTTGGGCAGCTGCTGGGTTCAGTGAGTTGGGTGGGTGGGGAGAATGAGGGGCGCCCAAGGCTGGGTTTTTACCCCTTGCTGCTACCTGGATCTCCCAGCTGAAATTCCAGTTATTAGTGGCCCAGGAGAGGAGAAAGTTGGAAGACGCTAGGGAACAGGGTTCCAGGAGTGTATCAGCTCAACCCCTCTCCCGGGAGAGCGACCCCACCACCGCAGGCCCTAATCCGCTGTCAGCAGTGCCCAGCGGAGCTCGGAGTTAAAGGAGGCACGTGGGGGAGGCGGGAGTGGGGAGCGGGCACGTGGTCCAGCCTTCTCAGCCCCGTGCTGCCCCCCGCCCCCCGTGAGGAGGGGTTTGGGGAGGTGGGGGCGGGCCCGGGCGGGGGCGGGCGGCGGGCGGCGGGCGGCGCCAAGCGTGGGGCGCGGGCCCGCGGCGGGAGCTGTCCGCGAGACCTAGTGCTGAAGTAGGCGCGGACGTGCCCGGTGCCTAGCGCGTGGTAGCAGGCGCCCAGTGCCCCAGCCGGCGAAGACCATGGCGTTTATGGTGAAGACCATGGTGGGCGGCCAGCTGAAGAACCTCACTGGGAGCCTGGGAGGCGGCGAGGACAAGGGGGATGGGGACAAGTCGGCAGCCGAAGCTCAGGGCATGAGCCGGGAGGAGTACGAGGAGTATCAGAAGCAACTGGTGGAAGAGAAGTGAGTGGGATCCCTTCTTGGCTCCAACGACCTCCCCCTCCCCAACCCCACAGCTGCTCAGTCCATCCCCGGGCCAGCCTCAGGTCCCAATCCCCTCTCCCCTACCTTCCTAGAGATGGTAAGAGACCGGGAGGTGTCCTCTACACTGCCCCCAGACCCATCCCATCTCAAACCCAAAACCCCGCTCCAGCTTCATACTCTGGTCAAGGGGGAGTGGGGGAAGGGGCGACCGGAGTCTGGGACGAGGAGGGGGATGCACGTGCGTTTCTGACGAAACAATAATCCCTTAATCCGATCTGGTCCCAGCTGCCTGTGTCTTCCAACTGGGGCTCCTCTGAGCTTGAGGCTCTGAAAAAAGTGGTGCAGCCGAGGAGGCTGAGAGTCGCGGAGGCAGACCCTGAGATGGGGGCACTCACAGACATTGAGCCTACTTGTGTGCCTGCAGTGCTGGGACAGAGTTTGGGGCTGGATTCTGCTGCTAGGCTACTTGGGTTCAGAGCCTGGCTTTGCCTATTAGCTGGGTAACTTTAGGCAAGTTACTTAACCTTTCTGTGCCTCTGTTTCCTTTTCTGGAAAGTGGGGATGGTAAACATAATACGTGTCTTGTATATTTATGAAGATTAAATGCCAATGCATGTAAACTGTTTAGCAGCACCTGGCACATGATAAAGTCTCATAAATGATAGCTATTATTTCGCTTAATCCTGATACCAGTTTTGTGAGTTGCAAAACTTTATCTCCATTTTACAGAAAAGGAAGGTAAGTGACTTACCTAAGGATATACCTAAAATGGTAGTGGAGCTGCGGTGTGAACCCAAGTTTGTCCTGAATACTTTTCCCTACACGACATAGCTTCTCAGTGAGGGAACAACAGACCAAGTTGGAGGCCATGAGGGACAAATAATTAGGGTCTGCAGAGAGAGCCAGACTGCCACCTTGGCCCCTAGTTCCATCCAGCAGCAGAGACAACAAAGGGCACTGTGATGGGGAAAGGCAGCAGAGACCTGGCTGTCCTGGTTGGAGTGCCTTTGCTACACACAGGGACCAATACAGCAGTGCTGCCAGGACTCAGAGACCCCTTCTGTCCCTCCCTTGAAGACTCCAACTCCCTTGTCTCTGTCCTCATGGTGACTCTGCCCCCGGTGACCCTGCAGGATGGAGCGGGATGCACAGTTCACACAGAGGAAGGCAGAGCGGGCCACACTGCGGAGCCACTTCCGAGACAAATACCGGCTACCCAAGGTAAGCTGGCCCCAGCTGTAAGGCACATCTGGGACCCTGAGCTCTGGGTTCTCAACTCCTTCGTCCCATTCTGGGCACCACAGCCCGCAGTTATAAGACTCACAGGGTGCTTGGTTAGATCCTTCCTTCTCATTCATTTGTTCATTTATTCATTCACTCACTCATAGTTCATCTGTGCCCACCAAGGGCCAGGGCTTTGTACTGAGGGGACCCCAGTTCTCGTGAAACTGACAGGTCTGTATTTCTGGAGCCAATCTAGGCCTCTTCTCTCCTCCACCCCCCGGTACCCCCACCAAGCCTAGGCCAGGCCTGGGCAGAGGAAGACACAGGGGAGGCAGAAAGCAGATTTGACTGCAGAAGTGAGTGCTCTGGGGGTTTCTGAACCTACTGGAGGGCAGAACTTAAGGTGGGGGAGAGAAGCCCTGTGTGTGCCAAGTACTTGACCTTCATGTCCTCATCTAACCCCCAATAATGCTGCCAGGCAGCTATCACCCACAGCCACAAATGATGAAACTGAGGCTCAGAGAGATGGAGGGACTTGGCTAAGATCATATAGCCAGTGAGCCATGGAGCTGGGACCAGCCCTCAAGCCGGTGAATATGAGCCTGCCTTTGCTCCAGGGCCCCAGGCTGCTTTCCAGGGTATGGAGTCTGCCTGTAGAGAGCCAAGTATCCCCTTGGCTGGCCAAGCAGCCAGAGAGTATGTCTCAGGAGATCCCTGCCCCCATGCTCCCCTGAGCAGTGCAGCGCCAGATGGGCATGTAAGTGTGCTGCTCCTGTTGTCTAAGGAGGGGACTGAAGCACAAATCTCTCCCAGAATATCGCCCTAGTGCACCCAGAACTGTGCTGGACTCGGGAAAATAACACAGGGCTATAGTGCTCCTGATTTTGATCTTCCACTTGAATTGAATGACCAAATATATGAACATCACATTCACTTATTCAACAAATATTTACTAAGTCCCCAGCTGCTTCTGACTGCCCACAGGGCACCAATCTTTTGGAAATCTCTCACGGGGAAAAACCGGTCCAGAAAGCCTGCCTCACTGCAAACTCTCCTGGAAATAAAGTCATTCCTCAGATACTTGTGCTAGGCATATAAGAGACATCTGCCATCAGGGAAGTCAGAGTTGAGCAGAAGAACCAAGACTTGGATGCAACTGAGTAGGACATGAGGCGCCCCCCAGAAGAACAGTGAAGGGCAATGGCCATCGTAGGTGCCATGCCAAAAAACACAGATGTTGGAATCAGTGACATAGGTTTGAATCTAGCTCCCCAACATCCTACCTGTGTAACCTTGGACAATTTAAGTTACTTAAGTTAGTTAAGTAACTTAAATTTAAAGTAAGTTACCTAAATCCTGTAAGCCTCAATTTCCTTATTTGTGAAGTGGGAGTAACAATACCTACCTACCTCACAGGGTCATTGTGAGAAGTAAAGGCACCCAGCTCAACATCTGCCATGTAATAGATGTAATAGATGTTTGATAAATGGTACCCATCACTATTTTTGGTTACACCCTTAAGCATAACAAGAGTCAAAACATGACTTAGCTGACTGTAACAGTGTGACTCATAAGTATTTTCATTTTGTCTTTACTCGCTGTGCTGGTCCTTCAGTATCTCAGAGTGAAATAAGGTAATATGAAAGGTCTCCATGTCCAAGCATCCAATGCTTGATCCTGGGATGTGGGGGTGGGAGCTGAGCTCACTGGAACATGGGGCTCAAGAATCTAGGGGGCCGGGCACGGTGGTTCACTCCTGTATTCCCAGCACTTTGGGAGACCAAGGTGGGCATATCACTTGAGCCCAGGAGTTTGAGACCAGTGTGGGCAACATAGGGAGACCTCATCTCTACCAAAAAAAAAAAAAAAGAGAGAGAATCTAGGGGCCTGGAACCCAGAGCAAGCCTCCTCCCTGTCCTCTCAACTCTGGGTTCTCACAGACTTCCACTCCACCCCACCCTCTCTTCCCTTCAGAACGAGACAGATGAGAGCCAGATCCAGATGGCAGGTGGAGACGTGGAGCTGCCCCGGGAGTTGGCCAAGATGATCGAGGAGGACACAGAGGAGGAGGAGGAGAAGGCCTCAGTCCTTGGGCAGCTGGCCAGCCTTCCTGGCTTGGACCTGGGCTCACTCAAGGACAAGGCCCAGGCCACACTGGGGGACCTCAAGCAATCAGCTGAGAAGTGTCACGTAATGTGACCACTTCCCCGGGGTTACCCACTGGGCTGGGCCCCCATGAGGGCTGAGTGTGTGTCAACTTCCAGAGACCCATACTCCATTTGGGGCTTTGTTTTCCTTGCCCCATCCTAGTTCCAAGACCTTTCCCATCCATGCCCCAACCCTATCTTCTGGTTTTTTCCTCTCTGCTGGGAGCAAAGCCCCCATCTTCACCTTACCCTTCAGGACCCTCCCCGCCAGCTCAGCCTGTGGAGGCCTCCCAAGATTGCAGGAATATGCCCATCCCTCTCTGGCCGTGTCCCCAAGTTCCTGCACACAGGAGCACCCACAGAAAGACACACACAGCACACAAAACCCCTGGCACGTTCAGAGACAGAAGCCACAGATGCATCCTGGCACACATAGACATGCACGCACAGGCCAGCTCCCTTGCGTGTCCAGCCCCTCTAGACACCAACACTGAGAT